ATACTCTCTCTCTCTCTCTCTCTCTCTCTCTCTCTCTCTCTCTCTTTTTGATAGACGGAAGAGAGCTAGACTAATGATTTTTAGGATAACGTTTTCGAAACTATAAAGAATTTTGGAAATAAAAGTAATCTTTCTTTTCCTGGTTGCACAAGATTTTCTAAACTATTTTCGATTCTACTCGAGAAAAAGAAAACGTGTTGCCGATCTTTAAAATTTCCCTCGAATCGTGATGAATTTCTTGAATCTCGAACTCGATCGAAGAGAATTCGCAAGGAGCGACTGGCCGATAATTCATAAGCCGTGGCGAAGAATTCAATGACTCACCGTCGTCGGTGCGTTTCCTCTTGATGCTGTTGCCGTTCGGGTCCTGGTGGTGGGCAGGGATTCCCAGGATGCCGCTGATGCTGTAAGCGTTGGGAGCGGTCGCCGCCGGGTGACCCGCCGCTGTTGCAGGTGCATGGGCTATCACCGACACGGAACCACCTGATCCCGGCTGACCTTGCTGCTGACCTTGCTGCTGCTGCGCCTGCTGCTGTTGATGCGCGTGCTTCGCCTTCTCCGCCGCCTTGTTCCTCACGATTCTACGGACAATGCAAGGCGTGCAGCCGCCGTCTGTATAGAGTTACACTACACTGTAGCCAGAGGAGTCATTAGAGGAGAGCTCGCCTCTGCGGTTTCGATCGAGTTTACTAGGCGCGACTCGATCGATCAAACGATTCTTGGAAAATTTTTTCCATCTATAATTAGCAAGATATTAGTCACTTTAGAGCTAATCCCCGTAACCAACTTGACACACATTTACCACAGAATATCCAAACGAAGGTGTTGAACGCAAGAAAGGTGTCCAAGCCTTTTCTTTTGAGGATTCTATCAGTTCTTATCGTTGTGTACACGCAACAACGTCCGCCATTGTTCCGGACAGCCATGTCAGGGCGCCTCCACCTTCGATACAGAGTAGCCAACGTGACTCTGCGGAACGGCCGCGTATCATAATCGCATCAAGGAGGCTGCAAACGAAGCGCGCCCTCTCCCCCCTCCTCCCTCCCCACATCCTCCTCGCCGCCCTTCCGAGTCGCCTATCCGGCACACCGCTTATTATCCGTGATATATTGCGCGTGCGGTTTCAATGGTCAGCCACTCCTGCTCGGTATCAATTATCCCGGCGAATATTCACGGCCGTGTTAATCCACCGGTTTGCACGAGGAAGAAACTGGCGCGAAGCTGCCTCTTTGGGATTCGTGGCGAACGGAAGTGGACAGATTCGGATTTGAAGCGAAGTTTAAAAGTTGATGCACGAAAGGAAAGGAAGAAGTAAATTTTGTAGATTCTATTATAATATATATATATATATGTTTAATGCAATCACGAGTAGTATGAAAAATTGTTAATTATTTGTATGCCTGAATCTTCAATCTTCTCTTTCTGTAGAATAATTGGTTAGCGAATAAAATAGGCTTTGTTAATGGAAAATGAAATAAAATTTTTGAAACAAAGCGTGGAATAAAGTTTCGTATCGGGATTTTTGCACGCGTAATGGATCGACATTAAGTCGTTCGTTTCTCGCGTGGATGTGTTTGTGGGCTAGGTAATCGTGGGGGTGCGAGCTACGGCGATCAATCAGATGACACCTGTTGCCCGATCTCCCTGCCTCGTTCGCCACCTTCGCCAATTCGCAACAATTAGCAACGATCCTTATCAGGGTTAGGCTCCGGGGTGATCCTAAATCGTTCGCCGTGCCCTAACACCGATACTTCGAGCCAGTAAATTTGTATCGAGTTCCCAACCATCGTTCACCGATATAAAAAGTTTCAAGGATTCAGGATCGATTCTCATTGATCGAGATACATTTAATTCCTCTAAAATTTTCCAATATTCTTATTTACGAAATATTACGATATCTCAATTAATTGTCCGATTATTTTCCAAAATTTTTACATTCATCGACAACAATTATCACATATATTCCTTCCTTTTCCCCTTTCGTTCTTTCGCACCGTGAAAGGAACAATCGTGAAAGGAAGAAGAATGGCCGCCGTTGCGCCACGCCCGCTTTAATTACCGAAACGCGAGGGGGAGGACTCTGAGATCCACCGGCCGATTCAGAAATCGTTAAAACGCGTGGCGAGAGCGGTGTAATGAGCGCGTTCGACGATCTAATAAGCGCGAGCATCGGCACAACAGGTGCAGATTTTATCGCGTGCACAGATGGTGCGAACACATTGCCACACACGCCGCGAATAAACGGCGGCGGTTTTTCGCCGAGACTCCATCGCGCAGCCTTCCATCTTCTAATTAGCATCGCGTTCAACTACAGTTTTGCTCGTTATCGATGCATTTATAAGTATCAACGACCGTTAACGTTCCTCGTCCGCACGATTTACGTAACATCGGGAATTTGTTTCGCCCGTACGCAAAGGGAAGGAAAATCCTTCTTCGATAAATTTTGCGAAATTTATTATACCCGTCAATATCTTTTCGTGCTATCCAATTGTTCGTTTCGCTTAATGTCTCTGCATGGCCATTTTGCAATGTCTGTCTAAAAATCAAATTTTTAAGCAAAAGAATTTTCAAAACGCCGATACATTCCTTTTGTATCACGACGATTTGTACACTCACGACGAGTATATCATAAATGGATTAATCCCCAGTAAAGAATATTTCCCCCATAAAATTTTGAGTGGCTTCGGAGAGAGGAGGGTGAAAATCACATGGCGGTTTCCATTGACGAGGGGGATGGGTGCAGCAGAGGCTCGCCAATCCTTCGCGGTGGCGAACAAGGAGGGATTTCCCTCCCTCTTTTCTCCCCTTCGTGGCCGCAACGTCTTGGAGGCGAACCAGAGGTGGCGCCTGGAGGAAGGCCGAGCAGAATTATGAGGGTAGAGCGTGTCGAGGGTGCCACGTGGGAAGAAGCTATGCCTCCCCTGGCGCCATCAGATCGTTCCCCAACGGCCACTCCTGAACTAAACTGCTCGACTATCTGGCTCGAACTGCCACCAATCGCCTCAACTTTTCTTGCCCTTTGTCTCTTCGATTTTGCGACTCGACTAGCAACTAGTTTAAATCACGTTTCGACGAACGAATGGATAATCGAGTGGTTAACAGAGTCGTTCGAACGATGCATTTCTCGCCATACGAAAAATTCTTATCTACAAATATCGATCAAATTATTTGATAACATAAAAAGAAAATCGATATTACTATTTCATACAAAGCGTACGAAGCGTAATTTTTCCCACTTGGAACAAACTAATTGCAATCGTTGCAACCTCGGATGATTGTTTTACATTTGACGTTGGAATAAATCCCATAAAAAATGGATCGTCCCCCGTATGTATCGGTGAGCGTATGAAGCATAACGAGTTCAGGTCGATACTTCTTCGCCCACCTTCTCGAGATCAACGTAAAACTCGTGTGGAGAATACCGTCGGGTGGGATGGAGGAGGTTCAGCCGTGGCACGGCTCTGGAACCACAAACTTTAATGTTGGCATTACTTTTATGCGCGACTTTATGCCAAGTATCCCATCAAATATACGACCCGGGCTCCTGCACGCTTCCCGGGGGAGGGAGGGAGGGCGAGTACCTTCGCTTGAAACCTTCGCTTTTCCAACCCCCCACTCGCCCTATATTCCCCTCCTTCCCTTCCCCCGTTTCCACGCGCGGCTAAATTATTGCGAATAAAACTTTATACTCAAATTACCTCTACGCCAACTTTATCGCATTTCACCGGTAAAGCCGCCACCCCTCTGACAGTTCTCCACCCTCTCCCGACTCGCTCTCACCCACCACCCCTCGATGGACTTGAAATTTTCCACCACCGAGTTAATTTCTACGATGGTTTAAATACCATCGTCTCGTCCAACCTTCTTTTTTTTTATGTCCTTGAGATTATGCCCCCTCGATCGATAACCCCCCGAAGTTTTTTGAAAGGAAGAGGGGAAGCGTGTAGATACAAATATTTTCTTCTCGAATAATTGTAGAATGAAAGGGATAAGCAGATTAGACGGATCAATCGTGTAAGGATTAATTTCAATACGAACAGATCCCGAGCCAAGCCAATTAAATTCACGTTAATGCGACTAAAAATTTACTATGCGTTTATATATATATATATCTCGTCGAGGATTGCGGGGGATTTCGAGGATTTACCAGTCTCTTTCGGGGGCAGATGCTTCGAGGACGGATCCTCCCCTTTCTCTTTAACCCAAAGTCAAGAAAAGAGAACGTTGGAACGTTGGCTGGTGAATATAGAGGGAAAGAGAGAGAGAGGGAGAAAGGGAGAACTATTTCGTCGAGCTGTAGACACAATACGGGACTCGCTCCACGGCCATTGTACGCCCTTCAGAGGCGCACAATGGCTGGAAAAGGTGTATCCTGATATTCCACCACCTCTCTCGAGGCTGTAATGTACCCCGGGAGCGTGCTGTACTTGCCTCTTCCCCGGTGTGATTCTTGAACAAAAGCCACCGAGAAGGAAGCTCTTCTCCCGCCAGTGTTATCTTTCGCGGCTAGCTTAATTATTTTTCCCTCTCTTGCCGCGATCGCGACATACGTTTCCACTGCAATTTATTCCCTTCGTATAAATATTATTCTACAACGATGGATTTACAATCCATCTATTTCAAGTTTATATATATATATATATAAAACATAGCCAAGTAAAATCTTGAATGGTATCCTCTTCCAAACTGGATTCCTTTTTCTTCGAAGAAAGAGATAGCAACCGGTTGAATTCGAAAGAAATAACAATCTCGTCGATGTATATATATATATAAAACTGACACTGGAGAAGAAGAAGGATCGCATGAATGGCGGTGGCGAGCACTTTCCCGACGCCCAAGGGTGTGTCGAAAGACGTGGTCCACGCGGTAGGAAGTCAGGTATAGGTTGGATTAAAGCGGTACCCCGGTAGTCAGTTTGATGAAGTGTTCCCTTGCTCGGGCACACCGGGGACGAGTATATTATTATATCCAGGGACGTGGTTCGCATTGTCAAACGGCAGCTGCCCGCTCCTGCTCCGTACACACAACTATATTAACCGTGACATCCCACGGCCGCTGCGAATACCAACATCTCTTTCCGCTGTGCGTGTGTCGCCAATGCACACACGGACCCGGCTAAAAGCGTGTTTGCGTGTTTGTTGTTTGCGCGATGGCTGGCGTACGAGCAACAAAAGGTTTACGTCTCTTCCAACAATGATACCGGCGCAGTCAACAGTCACGAGGATCACGCACAATGTAGCACACGATTTATAATATATCGCCTCGCAACGACACCTCTCGCCCCTCGAGTCAAGAGGACGCTACTTGTCTATCCAGAAGCCATTATGCGCGATTTCGAGAGGATCTCGTTGTCGATCCTTCCTTCGAAATTCTTCCAGCGTTTGCATCCCCGTGCGAGGTTTTAAACCTCTATTCTTCTTCTTATTAGAATCCATTTCTTTCCCGGGGGAATATCCGAATTACAATTGAATTTACTTATTGAAATACTTGAGTCGGAAATATTAATTGATTCGATGTAATAATAATTTTATGGAGCGTACCGTGACGTCGCCATTTTGTGCCACGCTCGATTACTGGCCAT